GCTAGTTGGAAAGGCTGGTTTTTGAGCAGAATATTTTCAAGTGATTGAAATAATCCACTCTGGGAACAGTGTAGTTTGCTGACTAGTTTGACTCCTGGAAAGACTTTGGAAGGCTTGGCTATCATAAGACAGATTTATACAAGGCATTACAATAATGCTAATTGAGTTCATGTGCTATTTCTCTTCCTCAAAAGTAAACAGAAGGTAAGTTTTGTTTGTTTTAACACAGGTAATGATAATGACCTCATGCCTTGAAGAAGTGGCTTGCTCTAATTTGGAGCTGAGTTGAGGTTGCCGTGACCATCGGAATATGGGACATCGTGACCAGCCAGGGGGCAGTGTGAGCAGTGGGTAAGTGCACGGGCTCTGACCCGAGGCAGCCCTCCATTTCCGCCCTATTGTTCAGCTGTGTATACTCAGCAAATTGCTAACTTCTCATACCTCAGAGCCCCTATCGTGGAAGTAGGGATAATTATGCCTTCTTCATAATGCTATTAAACGTATGTCTCTCTCTCTTTTTGTTTATGTGTATATACACATACATGATATACACACATAATATATATACACACAATTCCCGGTGAGGTAAGGACCCTATGTATTCCAGTTGTGTTTGTTGTGTATGGGAATGAAACTGTGATTAAAAACAGACTTAAAAGCATCTGCTAAAGTATTTAACGTTCTCATTTTTTGTGAGTACAGGAAGTAACAAATTCAATTGTTATCGGACTAGATCTACTAAATATAAATTTTGTTTTTCATATCTTGATATCGCTTAGCTATTAGGAAGCTCAAGACCCTCAGAGTAATATGGTGTAGTCTGCTGTGTTTTAGATTCTTTCCCATCTTCTCTTTTCTACTCAGTGTTTCTGGTTTCTTCAGTCATCTTTCTGTTCCCCAGAATCTATTTTGACATAATCCACTGACTCACTTGGCACCTACACGAGCGAGTCAGTTGATGAACTCGGCTTGGCTCAGAGTGGCACGGAGCTCCAGTCGACGATCTTTCCTTAAGCCTTTAGGCCGGGCAAGGATTTATGAACCGTATTTTGTCTTTTTCAAGAGCAAATGCCACACTTGTCCTCAAGAAGATAGTGCAAAACAGAGACTGAGATGTGTTATGGCCTTTACTTTCTAAAGATATGACACTGTCCTTCATTTTCTTCCCTTTTGAAAAGAATTTTGGGGGAAACATTCTGATTTACAGTAGAGCTGTGCAAACACATGACAGTCTAAATGCCTTGTGAATTTGGGAAAAACCTTGAAAACTTCATGAGAACTTTTTTCTCCAGGAGCGGAAACAGGGCTGAAAGAAGTATCTTCAGTAGTGTTTCTGCGGGATGGGACACAAACCATGTGCATCTGGTTTAGAAGCGGATTCTTGGTGACCGTGGATTTATATGCTCGTCAAGTTAAGCAAGTGCCTGGCCTGTTCCTTTGCTCCAAGCCCAATGTCAGGCATCACTAATTAATCATGATTTCTTTCCTGTTGAAACTGGATGAAATCTCTGCATCTCTCGCAATCCTGCTCTCTGGGAAACAGTGACCATTTGATTGCTCTGAGGGTTTTGATATTTGCTGCACATTTCCAGATATCAAAAGTTTCCATGTTCTAACAGTGGTCGGCAAACTCATTAGTCAACAGAGCCAAATATCAACAGTACTTCTTCAAAATAGACTTGCCCAGGCCGAAAACCGACTTCTGCGCATGGGCCACGAAGTTTCAATCGCACTGTACGCCCGCCCGCACGTGGTATTTTGTGGAAGAGCCACACTCAAGGGGCCAAAGAGCTGCATGTGGCTCACGAGCCGCAGTTTGCCGACCACGGTTCTAGAACATGACTTTTCTCATTTGGACTATTTTCTTTGAGTTTTGTGATTAAAGGCTATATTGTTAACTTAAGATAAAAATGTATTTGTTGTTTATATCAAATGTGTGAAAAATGATTATATCTAAGAGTTACACTAGGAAATATAAATGAGAGACATAATTTAATGCTTTCCTAAGCCTTGCTTAAAATCTATTCTGACCTCACTCAGCATACTGATCTAGATAAGTAAGGAAAAACTGGTCATTTATTAAATAGTCTATTAATAGTGTCAATAAAGACTTTTTTTCTAGTTGAAATAGAAGAGTATATTTATTTTTTATTTTTTAAATCCTTACCCGAGGATATTTTTCCATTGATTTTTAGAGAGAGTGGAAGAGGGAGGGAAAGACAGAGAGAAATATTGATGTGAGAGAAATACATCAATTGGTTGCCTCCTGCACGAACCCTGACCAGGGCCTGGGCCAGGGAGGAGTCTGCAACAGAGGTACGTGCCCTTGACCGTAATCAAAGCCGGGACCCTTTGGTCCGCAGGCCAACGAGCTATCCACTGAGCCCAACCGGCTAGGGCTGAAGAGTATATTTAAACAGAGATTGGCATTACACATTAGAGAGGAAAAAGTCCTTTGCTTATAAAATAAATAACTCTCATCAAAATGCAAAAATAAGAGAAATAATTAGTGCTACCCCAGCTGGAAAACCAGTGTCTCTCCATGTGGCTATTCAACCGCCGCTGTGATGGAGACATGGCTGCCTAGTCCAGGAGGGGACTGGGCATCACCTGATCTGACAGCGACGAGGAGGGACAGTGCGTCCCTTCTGGTGGCGCAGCACTGACCTTGTGATGCACAGCACCACCACGCAGATGACAGCGATCTGCACCGTCCCGATCACGGCCGCGATGAGCACGTACTGGAAGCGCACGGGCCCGGGCACCACGTACAGCACACTGTAGTCCTTCTTGTCACAGTGCGGGCCCGTGTAGCCGGCGTCACACCTGCAAGACATGACAGCGCCCGGTCACCCGCAGCCGCCGGACCCGTTCGTGTCGCTGGCCTGGAAGCATTTATCTTCATTATGAAAGTAAGGCTTTCTGTTTCCTTCTCTAAATAAAATGCTACTGAGCAGATCCAGTCCTCCACTCCTTATTTTCAAACAGATCGCTTCGTGTTTTTGATTTCAAAGATGATGTGGTTTCCTTTTATGCGCACAAGAAGAGAGTCTGAGAATTGTTCTTTTTATATTTTTTTTTTAGGTGAACTTTATGTTTTATGTAACGTGTTCTTGCAGCAACCTAAGTCAACATGATTCCCTGAAGACAGGTTTCTTTCTGATAACATGGGGGAAAGTGGGGCTATTTAACTTCTTTCTTTGTGGGGGAAGCATTCTCTCTGCTCCTGTTGGCATACATACTGAAGAATGTTAGGGCAGAGGCACAATCCGAGCAGCTTCTTTAACTGGCTGGTTATAAAGGGGCCTGCTGAGCTAGGGAGTCCACTCTCACTGATGATGATGATGTAGGCGATAGGCTCGGCCCAGCCAGCCCAGGGCGAGGCCTGAGCCTGAAGCTGCCTCGCCCTCCCCCTCCTCCGGAAGCTCAGGCAGACGACTGTGCCAGAACCGGCCTCTGACAGTGAAGCAAGGAAACAGCTCATGTAAAAGCAACCCCCATGGGATGGCTCTGTCATGGACTTTGTACAACTATTTTAGTCCTTCACTTGGAACTTCTCCCCACTGCATCCTGGGACCTTCCCTGTCCACGTTGGAAGAGTTTTTTCATGGCCACGGGGCTGAGGGTAAGGCCGGTGGGAGCAGCCTCTGCTGATGCTCATCCTGCCTG